TAACTCTAAATCAATGAGAACAAAACAAAAATACATATTGCATCGTCAGACAACGAGGCATCGATAAAGTCGGACTTTGGTCATGTTGGGGTGTTGAGTATACATAGCCAACTGTCATATGCCAGAATGTTTTTTTACATCTTGCCTAGCTCTTTCAAGACTTGGAGTACCCTTGTCAAAATTAATCGTTATAGAATCATACCCGACGAAAGAATCTAAGGAGCTGAATTTCAATTAAAATATACAGAAATAGGAAAAGGACCACAAATTCAAATCTGCATAGAAATACTCTAGCCAATAACAGCGCAAAAGACAACTTAATAAATAATTTACACAAGTTAAAGAGTAAAATATTAAGGAAACATTTATAACCATGGCAAATAAGGTTTACTGGAGGCAACAAAGTAGTTTGAAATTGGAGACCATTGGTTACCCTTGAGATTCAATAATTCAAAGTAACTATAGTGCAGCTGACTCGGATGATTAACTCGTCTTGTTTAATAAGTCTTTGTATCGTCCTCCCTGATTCAGTCTCGTGTTTCCTTTCGCTGAAAAATAAAGAAAAAAACTGCCACGCCGAGAAACCAATTCAAAACCGCAAGAAAATGAAAATATAGGAAAAAAAGGAATGAGAATGAACACAGGAAAACAGAAAAATATATTGAAGGAGACAATAACAAAACATCCCTATCCTTTGTGTAATAATCTTAGAAACTCCTTAACAAAGGAATTTTAAAGGTAGATTAGAAGTCCTTCATTTGTGAAACAGACATGACCACTTTAACGATTCTGACGAATCGGTAAAGTAGCCATGAAAAGTCGTAAAAGGCCATTTCAAGGGGTAATTGACTATTGAAATGGCCATTTCATCAGCCTTCTACATGCAACTATCAGTTCACTAAAGCTGTGAAGTGATTAAGTTCAAAGGATTGTGGATTTTCAAGAAGCTTGGGTGGCCAACTTGAAAATGAACACGCGTCCTGAAGTCACCAGTTAAAAGAATCTTTAAGTGGCCACTTTTCAAGTAAACAAAGTCCCTACTTTCGAGATCTACCTAAAGTGGTTACTTCGGGTAGCATCCAACCGGCCTATCTGAGAGCTCTTGGTAGGATGACCTCATCCGCTATTTTTGCTCTAACAGGATTGAAAAGACAACGAGCTAAAATGAAGTAAGAACGCTATTCCAGACAAGAAATGTATAGTTTATATACAAATGTAATGCAGTGGAACTCTTGCCTGGACTGATGGTTATTTTTGCAACTTTACTGGCTTTTCCTTCTAAAATCACCTGTGAAAATGCAGAAAAATGCGACACTTAACTGTACTAGAAGATACAGAGAATACCACTGTCTCGTGGTAAGCACATGGTTTTTCACTCTTAGGGAACTATTCTTAATGATTTCCTCTCAAGAAATCAGGTGCACAGGAACTTGAAGTACGACTGCTTTCAGTTAGTTTAGAAGTCAGCTCGTTCTTAATACAAAAAGGGAGTAACATCTATTAAAATAACTGGTATACTTACATTCTCGGTTTTAGTTAAAGCTCTTTCATACACAATGTAATTCTCTCCGCTTTCAAGTCTTCCATTAATATAATTTGCAGTTTTTTCACCGTCACCAACAGTAAATTTCCAAGGCTTGTCAATCACTGGTGCATTTTCTTGCTCGGCAGCAATATAAAAGTTTAAATCTTCTTTCTTTGCATCACTGGCAGACTTAAGTCGAAAACCATAATCACCCGGCAGCTCTTCAATACCTTCAGCGACTTTCAGAACAATAACCTGATAGGCACTGAAAGGTATAGAACAAAATGTCCGACTAATGAGTGACATCTCGAAAAGAGGCCATTAATATAGCATTTAAGAGCCACTGACCATAAATATCGAGAATCCGCCGACGGTTTTGTAATTCATTTTTTTTTTCCTAAAAGACCCTTTGAATAAACCTTTTTCAAAAATTATGAAATATCTAACGCCTCTCAAGTTTAATTTCCGCCGCACGCACGAATCTAGCCTTCGTGGAGGGAGGGTGAAATCATTTCTCGAGCAGCGGCAGGTAATCTTACCTTACATCTTAATGAAGGATCTATTCTACCTCTGGTTCTAGAGAAAATTACCTTCGTATTGATAATTACCTTACTGGACCATATTTTTGTTCAACAGGCCACAGATAAATGAATTAAAAAATTAAGCTTGGGACACGACCTCACAAAAAATATACTTTGCCAACAAAGCCAGGAATCTGTGTTAATCTACTAGTTCATGAAAAACGATGTGAATTTTTGATTGAGGCAAACAATTGTAGATGAAAATACATCAGACTTCCCTTTGAAGTCATGATAAGTTAATAATCGTTTTAAGGAAAATGGATAAATAAAAGTTCAATTCATATCTTTTTATAGATTGTGCAAATATGATCGATTTTTAAGTTTCCCTACGGAAAACACAACTATGAATTTAGCCCCACTTACAGTATAGATAATCGATTCCCTTTTTTCAAATTGTTTCCACGTCAGTGTAACCTGGGTTTTTCCAAAGTCAGTTACTCTAAATTCCCCAGGTGCTTTCGGTCCTTTCAGTGCCATGATGGAAAAACAAAACAATATTTTAGAATCTTCTTAAAGAACTGGAAAGTTCTTGTCAGAATACCTTGAGGCAATAATTCAAGTTTGCAACGACCACATAATAAACCTAACCAAGAAACGTTTACATTTTAAAAATCTAGTCATTAATTGTAAAGAAAATCTGGCAGACACGAGTGAGTAGATTTCATACTTCCATTCCTCTCATTATTCCTGTCTACCCCTTAACTAGTTTTTCCAAGGGCACACTAACGGCGTCACTTGCAATTTCCACGTACATGTAATTTTACCGGAAAATGGCACTAAAGGGTCAACCCTTTCATAATGTCATTCTACCATTGCATGATGTCATTTTGTACTTTTAACTCTTCGTTTTATTTGAAACTTACCCTTCTGTCCTCAAAACCACGATAATATTCTTCGAAAGATATTCTTAGGAATGTTGTGACTAATCAAAACCTCTTACAAGACAATCAAGTGGTGCTCATAAAATGCTGATCAGTATCGAACTCACTTGTCACCAGTTCCAAAGGTTCCCCATACGGTCCAGGTCCTGCTCCTGTGTAAGCTCGAACAGAAACATTATATTCAGAACAAATCAGGAGGCCAGGTAGGAAAACAAATGTTGAAGAGGTATTAACAGTGACGTTGTTGTGAGCAGACCAATTGTAAAAATAGGATTTCCACAACAGGTTGACCTTGACTTCATACAAAATAACTTTTCCAAAACTCTTTGCTCTCGGTAGACGTTCCCATGAAATGTTAAAAGTCGTCTTGTTCATTTGAGAGGCAGAAACAGAGTCTGGGCCAACACTGGGTTCTAAAAAAGATTTCAAATAGCACAGCGTGATAAAGAAAAAACATATTTTTAGGCTGGAGGAAATATAGTTATAAAGTATATAAAAAAAGCCTCTTGGTTACTTGAAGACTGAATAAGAATGCCAAACAATTTTAAAACTAAAAAAGAGACTAAAACCCATGTCACCCCCCTTCCCCCCGCTCGTATATGTGGAGCTTCTACTAGAAAAGAGCGCACAGCACAGGCTTATCAAGGAGAAATGATAAAAAATGCGATGGACTAACTGTTTATAACCATGAGATCACTCCTTTGTCCTCCCTCCGTACCGTAATTTTATTACATAAAGAAAAATACGAATTCAGACTGAGGTTGACCATATTTTCTGTCATTGTTTTTCAACTCCCAACATTTTTAACCTCAAAAACTCCTGTAGAGATCACATCAGCCAAACCTAGGCTCCTAAAAGCCCCTGTCTTTTCAGAGCATTCCCATATCACCCGAACGCAATTGCTTTGGTATGAAGTATGTTCTCTCAATCGTGATTTTAAAACGCTTCTCGTGCAATATTAAAAATGCAATCCATGAAGACCTCCTCGTACAACATCAATGGCGGCAGGGGAAGAGAAATCCCAAGAGCAGAAGAAAAACAGGTCATGGGGTAGGAAAAAAGGCCAAAGGAAGAACTCAGCAAAACAATAATGATGTGAAATGCGGAAATTATGATTTACGGAACACCATCCTACATATGTTGTTGCATAATCGTCGCCCTCATTGCCTGACAAAGATAAGTGACACGCACTCGAAACGTCAAAATGCACTTCAGAAGTTATTGTATCATGAGAAAAATGATGATAATTTTTCGTACTGGATATAACCATTATAACCAAGCACAACTTAGTTTTACTAGTATCTGTATCATAAATTGAATCAAACGTACCGTACTCTCTAGTAGTTAAATTTATGGTTATATTTGGTCCAGGTTTAACAGTCACAGCTCTGACATAGAGCTCATATACAACTCCACCTAACACGCCAATTGTGTAATTTAGCGCATCTATTCCAGAAATCTCTTTTAATACATCTCCACCGTGACTATAAAATAAAGTATAACTCCTGATGATTCCGTTTGGTGTAACAGGCTTTGTCCAAGTCAATTTTATTCTTGGACCATATGGCTTGCTAGGCGGCACATCAGTATAGGACAGGAACGCAGGTGCACTGGGTGCTGAGGAGGCAAACAGAATATGGAATTTGAACTTTCTTAGGGATTATTTCAAAACCAAACAAATACAGCGTCATCTTAGCCACTATTACAACTTCACTCAAGGAAGGAAACTTTCAGAATTTAACCATTAATGTTTACAGAGCATGGACAAAGAGAAAATTATGCTAATACCACGAAAAATCCAATTACGTGGCGAGATGAAGCAAAGAGAGAGTACAGAGCGTTGTGTCCACATTTGAAAGCCAGCACCCTAAATCAATCCGTAACATCTCTTATACCACAAAATGACTAATAGTCTACAATTATGTTTGTAAATTTTGGCTAAGGTATCCCTGAATATCAGCATCCTATACTGTCCTCTTTAAAACAATAGAACTGGCCAGTTTCATTTCCTACCATCTTCCAATGTCCTCTCGACCTCAACACAACTCTTAGGCCCATCACCACCAGAAGTGTAGGCCAAAACTTGAAATATATATTCTGTGTACTTATAGAGTCCAGTCACAACTGTTGTTAATGTATCTCTCCCATTAATGTTCAAATGGGTTGCTGACCCTGGAAAGCCTTTCCTTTGGTAGAATAACTTAAATCCTTTGATCACGCCATGTCTGAAGTCATCAGGAGGAAAATGCCAGGATGCTGCAATACTGGTGGAGGAACTTGCAGTGACATTAAAGTTAATGGGAGCTCGTGAAGGAGCTGCAATTGAGTAATCATGTTTAAATTCCTGAGGATGTAGCACATTAGGACTGTTAGATGTCGACATAAGTTCAATATGCTCAACTAGAAAGTTGTTAACTAATTTCGCCCACCTCCTCCAAGGGTTTTCTTAGGAACAATTTGGTTGAGATGTTGGTTTATTGATGTGAATTGTATGTCTATAGTTCTTTAAGTAAAAGCTATAATCTTTGTTACAATCGTCAAAAAACTTTACCTCTACCCCGTGTGTTAATGTTGATAACATGTCGGTAGCCAGCCTGGTTACTAAAAAAGCCCCCCCCCCCGCCCCCAAATCCCTGCGCAACCCAAGGACCAGGATGGGTGGCTGAAAATTGTGTATTTAAAGCTCAGGGGAGGGAAGGGTAAGGTTTGGACCTCTCAAACAGAGTTTGTTCTTGCGCTATAGGGACTACTTGAAAGAGGCCTTCCTTTCTTAATTTTTTTTGCACAGGCTAGTTTGCATAACTGGCAGTCAGATTTCTGTTTCAAGACACCTCAGCCAGTGGGCTAGGAGCCTATGGCTGGGTGACTGAAAATTTTCAGGAGCAGGGGGCTTGAAAGGGATCACAAGTGACAATGCAAACACCTACTCCCTAAGTCTCAGCCTGAAAGCTGGGGAGGGGGAATTAATTTGACTTCATTTTGACAAAAACAGGAGCAAATAAATACCTTTACTTAGAAGTACCCCATAAACCTCTACTCTCAGAGCTTTCCAATTAGAATACGCTTTTGGCTGAAAGCGGATAAACTTTGCACTTGCAAATTCCCGTAGACTGTTCTTTATGGTGCCATAGTAATTTGAGTTTCCAGAAAAGACCTGTAGTTTGTGGAACAAATGTGAAATAGTCTCATCACAATAGTAGAAGAAGAAATAAATAACAAGTACTCCTCTCTCGATAACTGCGTACTATATCCTCTGCACTGTTCTCAACATTTCTTGAACTTTTGATGATGTAAAGTAAGTAAACTACAATATGAAGTGAAGAGGCAATGGTTGACAAGTCCAGATCACTTGGACTAAATACCGGTAACCCTTTTTAGGATACTTAGAGTGAATTGCAATCACATGTATGTAACAAGCACATTGACTGAAGTTTCTTCTGAAAAGAATAATGTCTGTTCCAACAACATTTTGCTATTCATTTGAGGGAGAATTTATGTTGAATGTTGAAAAAGTAGACAACTTTTCCCTTCTTCTGACTAAAATCAAAGTGCTCTGTGAGCAAACTCATGAATTGACACATGATTTTTTAGATTATGTTTAATGTTATCTGGTTTAGGGAATTTTGTGGTTGATTATCATATCTAGAGTACGAGCAGTAGTTCAGTGTTCGCTAATGTAGCAAAGAAACAAAGTAACGTTGGGATAAGAAGGCATTACAATTGAAATGATCGTGCTATTACATTAGACAAGGTGGATGATGTCATGTGTTTTAAACGTCTATCATTTTTGTTTCTGGTTCAAAAGAAAAGGTTAGAAGTAAATGTGGGTGAAAAGTGAAATTTACTGTCTTTCGTTGTAAATATTAGAAAATCAAGGCAATACTGTCTTAAGGAAAACATTAACGAAACCCTCTTTATCAAATGAGACAAACGGGAACGAGTTTTGAGTGATATAACTAAGCCAAGCCTGCCACCATCATTTTGGATCTCCGCCTGGGTAGATTTAAGTCACGTGCTAGGCAACGTATAATCAATAACAAGATAGAATTTCATTTCAGGCCTATTTATCAATTTTGTGGTGTGTAACTTTCGCATTTTAGTACATTGTATGTATGTTGAATCTTCAAATTGTCTTGAAACTTAAAAGAAAATTGTTCTTTAAAAATTCACTGAAAATCGGTAGCTAAAATTGTTTGTTTAGGTGTTATTTGATTTTCGTGTTAACTTGTTATTTCGTCAGTCGCCGGCATCTTCTGTTGCTTCACACAGGAAAAACACACGCGACGAAACGTAATGATCAATTTTGTCCTCAATCTCACGCTATAACAGGAAAAGCTTTTGAAAATCTGTAAACTCCGAGCGCTTCGCAGTAAGTGATATTTTCAATGAATCTTCGGATTGTTTTCAAGTTCAAGGATTGTAAATTACAATTTTGTGAAAAACGAAGGTTGTTCTGTTATTTCAGTGTGAATCCTTGCATGCCTGCCGGTCGCTGGCGCCGCTTGTTGAAACTAAAACGAAAAAAAAAAAATCTTTTAAGATTATCATTGGCTTCTTTTTCACCCCACCACTATTCTTAGCAACAAAGGTCGCCATTTCGTCTGTTTATTGCTCGCCAAAAACTATAAAATGCACTCAAAAGCCTAAAATCTAAAAAAAGTTTACAGGAATCGACCAATCGACCGAGCGAGCGAATGCCATTCCCCACATCGTATCTATAACTCGCTCTTGCGCATGCGCGCAATTCACGAGTTAAAAATTAAATCAGTGCTGCACGTGCTAGTCCTGGCTTTTAAATATGTACATACACATGACCTTTACAAAAGCTAACCTTCTCGTTACTGTCTTCGTTATAGGTGGCAAAAGTGGTACCATCCAATGATAACTGAATCGTGTAGTTTTTGGTCCACATAGCCATACTCTTGGCTCCTTGAGTAGCTACAGCACAGATAACATACTCAGACAGCAGGTCAATTTGTAGGTAGTCAGCAGGATCAGCGTTTGTCTTTGGTGCCCAACCATTCAGTCGACCATACAGTCGACCAAGGAAAGGTTGATACCTGTAGTTAGCGAATGATGAAGCTGTAAAGCTGCTGTCTGGAATTTCACCACCATAGACCAGACCAATGGCCTCCATTTGACAGGCTGTGAGATAATTATTTAAAATCAGCCTTCACATTTTTCACAAAACTAGAATAACTGAAAAAATTAATATAAACAACTTCTACAAGATCTGTAGTTCAAATTCCAAACAACTTATTGAGTAACTTAACTTGACAAAAAAATTAGAATCTACATCTAATCTACAATTAAAAATTCACAGTTCAAAATGGAGTTCTGAGCACCAACAAAGAATTTGAATTCAGCACTCTCATATCAGCTAATTTTGTCCTTTGAAATGACTTCAGTATCCGAGGTTATCTTGAGTTGCTTGGTGCCTTTGATCAGTATTCATAAACAGTAAGTTTCTACTGAGATAATCTTAGCCACTCATCCAAATAACAAGCATACATGTATATCAAAAATACAACAGGCAGTAGGTTTCTGTAGGTTTCAAAAGCTCGTTTACCAATTAAAAGAGTATCTTGGACAACCCTTCAATGTGATAATAATAATAAATAACAATAATCACAGGACGAAATCACATGTTTCCGTATTTCTGAAACGTGTCGGAAACATGCAACTCCATTGTTCCGTTATGTTTACGTAAAAGTGGTCCGGTTCCGTTGTATACGCAGCAACGGAAACGCGAGAAAACGTCACGAAACCGGTAACGGAAACACAGGTTATCCGTCGTTTTTCCGGAACGGTTTAACATGTTTCTGCCACGTTTCCGTTTACGGATTCTTGCAACTTCATCCTGTGAATAATATTCAATATTTATATAATGCATTTTCTATAAAAATAATCAAATGCACATGATGATAATATTAATAAATAAATAAAAATAGTAATAAACGCCAATAATAATAATAGTAATGATAATAATAGTAATAATAATGTGATAATACCAAACACGCAACAATACATATAAGTTCCACACTCACTTGGCGTTTGTTTCACCCCAAACACCTCTGTTCTCATACACACCCCACTCTGATATGAATGTGGTAGGAATCGCACATATCTTGTTAACACTCCATAAACAACATGTTTCACTTCTGAGTTCCTGTCATTATTCCCACTCAGAAACTTAAAACAAACGAATAATCACGTCATCATTAGCAACATTTTAGCAACTTGAGAAAATGACAGAGAAATTGATGTCCACAATTTGAATAGCAGTAATTGCGATAGTTTTCCAAAAGCAAAGGTTGAGGAAAACTGTGAGTTTCAAGGAGTACAAAGTGTACGAGGACAAATGTACCAGCATATTTCGCACTGAATGGATGCAAGCCGAAATATTCAATGAATTGTAATTGTCAATATCAGTACCTCCTCAATAACATGAACATTACCTATTTTTGGAGAAGTTACGTCTAACAGTATATTTCCTATCTACCTTGACTTGTCCATCTTCCTTGTAGTCTGTCCAAGTTGTTCCATTTGTGGAGAACTGAAGTGAGTAGTTCCTAACCCAATGATTTGCTTGAAAATTCCCTTGAGTAGACACAGCACAGATGATATGAAAAGTTTGTAGATCAATCTGTAGATGTGGATCTATGTCACTTGCTCTTGCACACCATGATGATCCTGATGTGTAGTTCAATCGACCATTTTTAGCTGGTGTGTTGAAACTTTGTTCAGAAGAAGCAGTTATTTTATTGTCTGGAATTGCTCCATTTTCCATTCCAAGATAAAACTCGACACAACCCCCTACACATAAAAACCATGTTAAAAACATCAAACATGACAAGCCAAAATAATATTCAGTATAGCTATGGCCGAGGTAAGATGGTAAAGCTGTAAAGATCAGCATTCAGGAATTTCATACCTGCAAGATATTAATAATTTTGATAAATGACAATTTAATAAAGTTTGGGGCTACGTTTCACAAGCTTTTCCAATGAAGTGTCCTTATCAGAAGTGTAGGTTTTTGGACTTTTCCTGAAACAATACAGCCTTAACGTTAATTAAAGCTTTAGGCAAGAGCAGAGGGCATCTTGAAGCTCAATAAATTATGAAAAGGTTGACGTATATGTAAAAAAAAGTGCAAAATTTTAATGCAAGGAATGAATTATCAAAAACATATGATTATTAAGTATTGCTTTTGGCTACTTTCAAATTGTTCCTTCAAATTTATTTGACAAAAATTCAAACTTATCAATACCTAAGAACAACGAGGACAAGCAAGCGACTTGATAGAGCACTTAATAAAAGCAAAGTTGGTTTTCAACCCACCCTGCAAGGTACAATTTTTTACACCCTGAGTACTAAGAACCACCTCTATTAATGTCAATATAATGTTACCCAAGCTTTAAATTTTACAAGCCCAAAGTTCTTCCACAATGCTTCCTTCAATTGAACAGGTCACTTTTTTTTTTTAAACTTTTCTTACCACCAAACTTAACGCGAATGATTATCAAATACTTTTATAATTCTTACCATCTTTCATGGTTTTCACTACTACAGGAGAACTCTTTGGTCCATCACCAATTGAAGTGAAAGCCAACGCTAGAAATTCATATTCTGTGTACTTGTCTAGTCCAATGACAGTTTTATCATGAATGGCACCATTGTCTATCCATAACATAGTAAATGACCCTAGCACAGTTTTCTTTTTGTAGAACAATTTAAATCCTGTGATTATTCCATTCCTGGAGTCTACTGGTGGTAACTTCCAGGATGCTGTAACAATTGTAGATGTACTTGAAGTCACAGTGAAACTTGAAGGGGCTTGTGATGGAACTGCAATTGGATAAAATTACTGTTGTATCTATGACTGGTACTGTGTAAGGTCCTTACACCACTGGGAATTTGTATTTCCCAACTACCAGTATCAACATGGTTCCTGGAGGGATATGTATACCAATTCTAGGAGATTCATTAATTTTTTGAAGAAGAAAGGTTCTCTTTTTTTTTTTTTAATTTTTAAAATTTTTTTCCATATATTATACTTACATATGTACTTACACTATACTTACTTCTTACATGATGCTTACACAACATTAACTTGCACTACTTACAATACATATATTACAATATAATTACATTAGTCGAATTGAATTACAGTTGATCTATTTACGTTATTGTTTGCACGTTTAGAAAGGTTCTCTTGGTTGACTCATATTAGCTGAATGGATGGTTCCACGGAACCATCACCACATGCACATGTTAATAAGGGCATTGTTTCAGGGATATTCTTCGGTTTAAAAAAAAAACAATAATTGTTCTAAGGCAAACGTGTTTGCACACATGGTAACAAAGGACTGAAAAGTTAACAAAATATGAGGGGTAAAATAACAGAACTCTATAAAAAAGGTAGATGTTCCTGCACAATCGGGTATTTTTCTCTATCTTTCACTTACCATCTTCTTTTGTTCTCTCCACCTCAACAGGGCTCTTTGGGCCAACACCATCGGACGTATAAGCCAACACTTGAAATTCATATTCTGTGTATTCCTTGAGCCCAGTGACATTTCTACTTAATGTTGCTCCACTGCAAATAGTTGAGGTTGTAAATGACTGGCCAGAACCTTTCTTTTTGTAGAACAGTTTAAAACCTGTTATGTTTCTTCCATGTCTGGCAAAGACTGGTGGTAACTGCCAGGAAGCTTTAATGCTGGTAGAAGAGCTTGTAGTCAACTTGAAGGCAGTAGGAGGTTGAGATGGAACTGAAATATAAACAGCAAGAGATGTTAAGTAAGCCAACTTAAGATATTTACAGTAGTATAACGGATCATCAAGAGTGGTAAATACACATTCCTAGATGATTTGTAAGATGCTATTCATAAAATATGTATAATTACTAAACTCTGTTGCCAAGGCAACCTAGGAGGTTCAAAATCAAAAATGCCTTAGCGTTTTGGAGCCATCGCCAACATTTTGTTTTGATATTTGCAAAAAAATAGCTCCTTAGTCAGCAAACATCTGGCCTAATGTTATTTCCATGGGGTCTAATTCAATAATACATTGAAATAAATTTAAACAAGCTGTATAGATGGCAGAGATTTATGAATAAAAAAATATCTACAAACACAAGGGGTGCCTTTAAACTCAAATCATTCACAGGAATGTTTTAAGCATTAACATTATCAATCCACACTCAAAACTCAGTATATACTTATCAGACCTTTAGTTATTACTTATTGTGGGTCCACTTTTGTCTCATAAATACCTTTAGTCAGAAGTATTCCATAAACTTCCACTCTCAGGACCTTGTATCCATGATACCCTGTAGGCTGAATACGGATAAACTGTGCACTTACAAATTCCTTTAGACTGTTTTTTACTGTGTCAGTTTTTCCTGCATTTCCAGGAAAGATCTGTAGTATATGATGAAAAGAAAAGAGATATAATCATATAAAAACTGGCTTGCTGCCGATCTGCAAATGAAACGAAAATCTGTAATTTGCATAATGAAAGTCTTAAAACACTTTAACCCCTTTTAGTAACTAGCATCTAATTTCTCCCTACATTTAATCACTCATGAATCACATGTCATGATAATGAAGGAAATGATTATCAGCTAAAGAAGCCCTTGATTGTTAACCAAATGCTCTCTAATTGTTAGCATCTTAGGAAATTTTATAAGAAAACTATGGAGAATATGTATACTGATGTTTGGGTGTAAAGGGCTCATATGCAAAATGAACTCAAAATCTATAGTTTGTGAAATGGAAATCTGGTTGCTAAATGAAAATCTGTAATTTGTGAAATGGAAACCCCTGATTTCAAAAGTGAAATCTGTGTGGAAAACTCTGCCACCTGCAAGGATGAATCCACTACTTGACAATAGATGAGGATGACATATGTAACTTAGCAACTAATGACAATTATACTTGACCCTGGAACCCCAGCCAAAACTTTTTTCTGACCCCCCCTCCAATCTCATCCCAACTCATCCCAGTCTCATCCCATCTCATATACATCATATCAATATGTAAGAAGACAGCCAAAATGTTGTATCAAAATGCTGGATCAGTTAAAAGGTGACATTTAAGTATGATCACTTAATTTCACACATATTATATATATATATACATAAAATTGTTACTTGAACGAAGGTGCACCGCGCCAGGAGGATCAATAAAGACTCACAGTCCAAACCTCACAGCAAACATGAACATAGAGAGTAAAAAAATGTGAGGATGGACAACTTCTGACATAAAAAAAGATAAAAAATTTAATAAAAACGTTTTGGTCAGAGACCTTCTTCAGTTATTTACAACTTTTGAATAAAAAAGAGCTTTAAATAAGATTGAGGTGAAGTGATTACGTAATCACAGGTGACAGCTAATGAATAAGACACAAAATTACGTGAAAGAGCAGAAAGTGGTGTTAATAAAAAGATGACAAAAAAAAATCAACAAAGTGAAAACATCGAAAAAAACAAGCCACAAAGAAAACAATAGACAAAGTACGAGAGATGAAACCTAAAAAACTAAAAACTAAAAAACTAAACTTGCTAAAACGAATAGCACAACTGAATAGGCAATGCGGCAAGCATTAGAAAACGATAGACCCAGTCTTACCTACAACTGTAAATCGTACCAAAATCCTGAAACAAGGCCTTTGGAGCCTGAAAGGGCAAATTAGCAACAAAATCCCTGGAGGGGTCCTTAAATATTAATCATAAAAAGATCCCTTGGCAGGACCTTTGAGTCCAATCAGAGCCTTTGAGGAGATCGATAGGCTTTTAATTACAAAACAACAACAACAACAACAACAGCATTTATTTAAACACGATAAAAAATTCAGCAAAAGCTGATGTGGTCGTGTACGGACAATAAAACTAAATTCCTAACTAAATCCAATAAAACTAAATTCCTAACTAATTATAAGAAGACTAATGTAAGATTTCTACATATTTTCAACAATAAAAATTCTACATAGTACATCATTATAACATACGTGGCTTAAAAATACACTTGAGTGACTTTTTAAAAGCGTCAACGTCTTGAATTGATCTCATTTGATTTTCCAGAGCGTTCCACCGAGTAATTGACTTGTATGAGCATGATTTCTTGACCATATCGGTCTTAGGTCTAGGTAACTTAAATGTCATTTTCCTCCTGAAGTCGTAGCTACTTACATACTTTTCAAAGTGACGGCTCATAGGACGTGGCAAAAGATTATAATAAGCCTGATGCGCTAAGATTAGTAATCGTTTCTCATACATAATCTCTAAGGTATTCCATTTTACTGTGGCAAGAACCTCCTTGCTTGGAGTACACCAATCCAAGTTAAATATTATTTTCGCCGCTCTAACATGTATAGATTCTAAGCTTGAGAAAAATACTCGACCACAAGAGCCCCAAACTAACATACCATATGTCACAGACGGCAGAATAACCTTAAAATAGAAATCAATTCTTGCCTGTATAGGAAGGAAATACAAGGATTTAAGTAAATTCAACTTCTGCGTATATGACTTAGCTAATTCCGATACATGATGATCCCATTTAAGAGCATTATCTATCTGAACACCTAGGCATCTTGCAGAAACAACCTCCCCGACAACATAATCACCTATCTTAATAGCTTGTTTTGGCCCAGTAAATTTTCCGCGTCCACCAAGCAATATATATTCCGTCTTGGTGGGATGTGGAGTGAGACAGTTCTCGCAACACCATGTATATAGCCTTGCTAGTACTTCATTCAACTTGGAGGCCACCAGATCGTAGGTCGGAGCTGAGACATAGACGGTGGTATCGTCTGCGTACATGTGAAGCTGTGGGTCACCATCTATTCCCTCAGTGATATTGGGCAGATCATTACAGAAGATGGAAAACAGGGTAGGGCCCAGCACCGACCCTTGAGGTACACCAAAAGTAACTGGCATAGCTTGAGATTGACACCCATTAATCGTCGTTACTTGCGTTCTTCCAGAGAGGTAATCTCTTATCCAACACCACAAGTCCCCAGCTACACCAAGACTTTGAAGTTTTCGGAGCAGAATGGAGTGGGGAATTGCGTCAAACGCCTTACGAAAGTCTACAAAAACCACGCCTACAACATGTTTCTTGTCGATCGCTTGTCTCCAGTCATCCGTTATTTTCTTTGCTTTGTTTCTGTGTCGGCATGAAGATACGAGTTCGTTACGCTTATTCAGTGATGAGAGGTCGGGTCGGTAAATTATCAGGAATTTTTCTTTTAGACAGAGGTTGCATCTTTTACTGGAGCTGTTGTAGGGAGAGTTAGATGATAAGACGCGCCATGAGATAGAATAGTCAATGTTGTCGTTCTTGAGTGTCCAGATGTGTTTGCTAAGTTCGGTAGAGTTTTTGTGCTTGGCGTGGCGGAATGATGCGGTGTGATTTCTGTGTCTTGTTTTGAAGTCGGTTTCTGTGAGTCCGATGTATGTTTCAGAGGTGTTGTTGTCGTTCCGTGTGACGGTGGCTTGATAAACGACTGAGGATTGAAGGCAGTTACCATTGAGCGGGAAATTGTTCTTTTCTCGGCAGTTGCATGTTTTGTTGGTTTCTGTGCCGTCTTTGTTGTCTTTCGTGTAAGGTGAGTGGGACGAGTGTAAGATGCGCTTGTTGTGGTTGTCGATGACCTGTTTGGTGTTGTTCATACAGCTGTAACTGATTTTGATGGTGTTGCGGTTAAATATTTTGCGGAGACTGTGATCCTTAGGGAAATGTTTGTCGATTAGGCTGAGGAATTTGTGTCCGATATTGGTGCTGACGTTCTTGCTGAATGGAGGGTTGTACCAGAGGATGTTGCTTCGCTGCCTGTTTTTGCGTTTTGCAGTCGTGGTGGGTTCATAGTGGAGGGTGTATTGGTATCCGCCTTCGTCAAGTGCTTTTTGGTACGGGGGGGCGGCTTTGTCGAATGAAGCTTTGTCTGATGAAAGGGATGAAAGTCGTTTGTTGATGCTCGCGGTGTACGTACTGTAGTGTGGTGTTAGGCTTTGTGTAAGGCTGGTAGGTGCTGTTGTTTAGGTTGAAAGTGACGTCTAGGAAGCTGATAATCTTTTTGTTTGTTTCGATGGTGATACGTAGTCCGTTGCGGTTGAAGATACGGCAAATTTCCTTCTTTATGTTTTCGGTGTCTCTCGGCGTGGTGTTGGTGTATATATACATATATGTAAATATATAAAGAGTAATTTTGACTTATGTAAGACAGTGCTCAATACATAGGAGTAGAACGATGTATATATTGTGGGAGGAAATAGACAAATAAACTACCCGTTCATCCCTACAGACCTGTTTCGTTTTTGCCCACTCATCATTAAATCTCCTGATGAGTGGGCAACCACGAAACAGGTCTGTAGGGATGAACTGGTAGTTTATTTGTCTTTTTCCTCCCACAATATATATATATATATATACTATTTGCAGTACATGTACAAAATACAAATTATATATGTGTGTGTGTAATCAGTCTAACTTCATGTAGATGATGAAATATGTCACTATCGAATCCTGAGTAATTTCAATATGTTTTGCATGCAACATAAATATATCAGGGATAACATTTAGTATATTAATGTCCATAATTATTGTATGAAATTTTCAGTAATTTCACATCTTTGATATTTTGTAGCTATTGTAAGTGTTTTGATTTTTTACCACAAGAACTAATTTTGGGTGAGCATGACATACTATTACCTTGTCAATGTTATTTTCTTTATAGGGGAAAAATGTGGTACCATTGAATGAAAGTCTTAGTTTGTACTCTGTGGTCCATTCTTGAGCAGTTGGTGATTGGGTTGGTGGATTTCCTTGAGTAGCAACAGCACAGATAACATATTCATAGAGAAGGTCAATTTGTAGGTAGTCATCAGGATCAGTAGTAGTCTTAGGTTCCCATGCCCCTCTTCCATTAAGACGACCATATTTAGCTGCATATTTGGGAGCAAATATTGAACTGGCTGAGAAGCTGTCATCTGGAATTCTACCACCGCTGGCCAAACCAATTGCCTGTGAATCACATGCCCCTTTTCCATTAAGACGACCATATTTAGCTGCATATTTGGGAGCAAATATTGAACTGGCTGAGAAGCTGTCATCTGGAATTCTACCACCGCTGGCCAAACCAATTGCCTGTGAATCACATGCTACAAGGTAATAATTTTAAAGTTAACCTTCACATCTTACCATATTACATGACTATATGTTTTTCAGTGTAATTAATTGAATAGCTGTCATTTGGAATCCTACCACCACTGGCCAAACCAATAGTCTGTGAATCACATACTGAAAGATGATACTTCAAAATTTACCTTCACAATTTTTTTTACAAATCATTTAATTCAATGTAATCAAACGAATAACATCTAAACAATCTACAGGATATGATTACTGAAATATAACAGAATAGTGATAGAAAAACATGAATTCAAAGAAAATTAAGCCATGATATTTGCTAAGTAACCTAATGAATGAAGAGTGGTCAGTACCATTATAACTACTCATCCCGCAAATAATAATTGTTAACATGATAACATAGTCATTAGGTTTAGAACCTTCGTTCCGAGATTGACAAAGTACCTTCCTACATAACTCAGAAATGCAAGGATCAAATTAAATCATGGTATTTTTCAGAGATTTGACAGCTATGGGAGTGGTATTTTAATTGTGGCCTGACTGGACACAATGGAAGCCCCTAGATAATTCCCTACTAGCTGTCTGCCATTATTTTAAGCACTTTGCATTGACCAAACAGAAAACCCTAAATTTTGCCTCACTCTCAATGTTTGGCTCCATAGCCCAGTTGATAGTGGTACCCAACTATTATCTGGAAAGCAAAGGTTTCAATCCTGTCAAAGCCTAAATTTTGTCAGGATTATTTTCTGTAAGGATCATTTCTTTGTTTGACTTTTATCTGCAGGTCCAAAAAAAATTTATTCAATTCAAAATTTCCAGAACTATCTCAATCTTGACATGTAATTAAAACAGAAAAAGCCAAGCATTTCCACCTAGTTCAGAACTAGCACCAGAAGCACAAATCAATTTGGGCATTGTTTTAGGGGATATCTTTCAGCATGAAAATTCAAAATAACATACTAAGGCAAAGATGTTTGTATTCAAGGCAATAAAGATGAGAAAAGTTAATCATATATGGAGAGATAAAGATGGATGTTCCTAAACATTGGCTATTTTTTTCTCTCTCTATCACATACCATTTCCCTTTGTTCTCTTCACCACAACAGGGCTCTTTGGTCCATCACCATCAGAAGTGAAAGCCAACACTTGAAATTCATATTCTGTAAACTTATCAAGCCCAGTGACATTTCTACTTAATATTGATCCACTGCTAATTGTCAATGTTGTTGCTGACCCACCACAACCTTTCTTTTTGTAAAACAATTTAAACCCTGTAATGTCTCTGTGTCTGCCAAAGACTGGTGGTAACTGCCAGGAAGCTGTGATGCTGGTAGAAGAGCTTGCAGTCAACTGGAAGGCAGTGGGAGGTTGTGATGGAACTGTATTAACAACAAGAAATGTATGCTTGAATTCATAGATGATAATAAATGTAAAGTTTTGAAAGGAACATTTCATTAATGGCCATGGTAAACCTAATGGGCAGTCTATATTGATTAGTAGCAGTGTGGATCATCAGAGGAGGTGACTTTGTTTATCCATTTTTATATTTTCCCCATGATGTTCTTTATGATTTAGGCTTCACAACTTTGTTGATAGGCATTTCACAGCCATCTTCGGCATTTTCTTTTGATATTCATCAATACCAACACCCTGGTAAAAGTAAATTGCCCAATCCTGCCTTAATTTCCCTAATAATTACTTATTATGACTTCATTTTGCATCAGGGGGACAAAAGTGAGAACAAATAAATACCTTTAGTGAAAAGTATTCCATAAGCCTCCACTCTCAAAACCTTGAACCTATTATACTTTGTTGGCAGAAAGCGTATGAACTTTGCACTTGCAAATTCTGTTAGACTGTTTTTCACTGTGTCAGTTTTTCCTGAATTTCCTGGAAAGGCCTGTTATACAAAGAGTTGATGTATTGAAACTTGGCATAATAAATGATTTACTGTAATTTGGTAAATGAGATAAAATTAAAATCCGCAATTTGCAAAATGAAAATCTGTAATTTGTAAAAATTAAAATATGTAACTTGGGAAAAGCACACAAAATGAGAATCTTTAATGTGCAGAATGGAAACCTGCTATATGTAGGTTACGTGCATACATCCAAGGTTAAAATTAAAGAGCTTGAGATACTTCAGCCAGGGATGAGGACCAGGGATTTTGCCTTAAGGAAAGCCACCAGTTAGATAATGACTATCAGAGAGATCAGGACCAAAGAAAAATTTCAATTAAAGGATAATTAGTTGATTCAATACTAAATTCTCTGAACTAACATGATAAGAATTGTATGGTCGACAGAAAGGAGAAATAAAAATTTGATCTGGGAGTTAAAGGGTTAATTCTTGAAAGTAATGTCAATATGGTTTCTAAGCAACATAAGTATATTGTGGGTAATGTTAGCATTGGCGAATATTGTCAATATTCTATAACATGTATAAGCAAATTTGCTGTTCTTGTGAGCAGCTTTAGTTTTGTACCGCAAGTATTTCGCAAGTAATTTTGGCTGTTATGAATACTTGTATACAAGAGCATGACATACCAACCTTGTCAGTTTTATTTTCTTTGTAAGGGAAAAAAGTGGTACCATTGAAAGAAAATCTTAGTTTGTACTGTGTGGTCCATTCTTGAGCTATTGATTGGGTTGGTGGACTTCCTTGAGTAGCTACAGCACAGATAACATACTCATGAAGCAGGTCAATTTGTAGGTACTCATCACGATCATTAGTCTTAGGTTCCCATGCCCTTGTTCCATTAAGACGACCATATTTAGCTGCATATTTGGGGGCAAATATTGAACTGGCTGAGAAGCTGTCATCTGGAATTCTACCACCGCTGGCCAAACCAATTGCCTGTGAATCACATGCTGCAATGTAACAATTTTAAAGTTAACCTTCACATCTTACAATATTTCATGTATGTTTTTTCAACTTCTAAACAATCTGTAGGATATTAATGAAAAATACCAAAAAATAGTCAATGGAAAAAAAATGATGATGCTGTAACTGTTTACAAAATAACCAAATGAATGCTGCAAACAGGTGTCATGAAATGAGGGACTGTGCTGCTCGAACTAGGTGATTGCCCAGAATGGATCCCTAACTTTTCTGACCAGCTTTCACTGTAAAAGAAGTGAAGATGGGACATGAGGAACTCCATGCACTTGTGCAATATCATCAAGGAAAGTTTGTGGTATGTTGGAATTTTTTTTGCAATCCTCAGCTCAAAACACTACAGGCCCCGACAATAAAACTATCCATCACAATGTATAAAGCAGAAATTGGTGCATCCTGGCTGAATTGATAAGCATAAGAAGCTCATCACAATGGCTGGGTTTTTTTCCTCAAGCACTCAAAGACTGGTTTGTATTATTAAAGCTACCTATCCAAATAACAAAACCACAAGGTTTGAACCTTTGTTCATAGATTAACAAATGCAAAGATCACATCACACAATAGTTTTTAAACTTACTTGGCATCTGTTTCACCCCAAACACCTCCGTTCTCATACACACCTCACCCTGGTGTGTTTGTGGCAGGAATTGCAAATATCTTGTTAACACTCCATATACAACATGTTTGACATTTGAGTTTCTATCCTTATTTCCCTCTAAAACCTTAGGAAAATAATTATAACTCATTATAGAGTTCCATAATTGTAACTCCTCATCCTAGTGAAAGTAATCATCATTACTTTACCTCTTGTTTTATGACAGGAAATACTTTTATTGTTCAATGGTTGGGCTAGGTGGCTAAATTAATCTTCATACAAACAGAAAAATACAAAATTTAATGTAGGTGTAGGAATAAGGCCTAACATTTATGAAAGAGGTCCATATGGACAGGGTTACTAAGTAAACATGAAAAAATCATATTTTGACCACTGGATTGTAAAAAATAGCTCACTGACCATTAAAGGTAAGCTCTGTCTAATGTCACATGACAATCATTTCATTACTTCTTGGATTGAGAGCAGCAATCTCTCAGTAATTGGAAATCATTTATTCAGCACTCCTTTGACAAGCTATTTCACACTGTAAATATTTAGTGGAATATTGTAGTTCAAAACAATTTGCTAGATTCCCAGTCCATTTCTTCCTGGTACTCTTTGATTGCAAATTCAGACATGCAAAATATCATTTGCTGAATGAAAAATATTTACACAAAACTCATGATATTTTCTGAGCATGCGGAGAATACTTGTTGAATTGTTATTGTAAAAATAATCCTCAGCATACCTATAGCTCCTTTGGTAGCCAATTTGATGTAAATGCATCAATATTATCAAAACTCAGGAACAGTGATTGAGGCAAGATATCATATAATTCTCAACCAGCCCATATGACATACCTTAGCCTGCCCACCTAACTCGGTATAGTTTGTCCAAGTTGTCCCATCAGTGGATAATTGTAGTTTGTAGGTCTTCACCCACTGATCTGCTTTAGAATTCCCTTGAGTAGACACAGCACAGACGATATGAAGTGTCTTTAGATCAATCTGTAGATATGGGTTAGTGTCACCTGTTCCTGCACACCATGATGATCCTGATGTGTAGTTTAGTCGACCATTCTTGGCTGGTGTGTTGGCACTTTGTACTGAAGAAGCAGTTATATCACTATCTGGAATTGTTCCACTTTCCATTCCAAGGTAAATATCAACACAAGCCCCTATAGAAACAAAATTTTCATCTGCCCTATAACACAGTCCTATAAATATAGTAACATTCAACAATGGTTGGATACATGGGGTATCATTTTGGATGGCATCCATTTTTAAAGAAAATGAAGAAAGATTCAAGTTTTGAAAAACTGCTGTGCTGCATCAAAGGCATTGAAGCAAAATATAAATAAAGGAAAAGAAATTGTTGCAGTGAATTTGAGAAACCTGGGTCATTAACCCTTCCTTGGAGCAAAGAGAAGTTGAATTTCAGTGTAAAGGTACAATTTTGGGAGCACAAGGTAGATATATACAGACTGGTCAAAATTAGAAGCTTTAAGGTAGATAGGAAAGGTGGAATAAATTCCAAGAGTTCTTTAACCTGAAACAGCAGCAGATCTTACCACTCGATTTCTTCGTTCAAACTCAATAGTTTCAGAACTGTCTTTATTTCTGATTGCTGAACAATTCAAAGTTTAATTTCATTCGTATGATTCTCCATGCTTCCAAATTGCGCTTGATGTAAAAACAGGTAGATTTTCAACTGTACTATTCTGACACAATGACATTTTCCTCATAAAATCCCGAGGAACCCTCGTTTCTTTCTGATATTAATGCTGTCCGCATTGAGAACTAACCTGCGACCGTATGAGAAAGCCTTGAGATACAGCACTCATAACTGAAAGAAATCTCTGATCAAGTATCCTGAAATTTTTAACATAAAAATAGACCTTTCTAATAGATTTAAAATGATATGGTGCTCACCTGAAGTCAGTGGAAGAAGTACAGCGAGAAAAGCTACCCGGAAACAAAGATTAAATTGCGCCATGTCGCGATTTGAGTGAGTCACGATATGCGTGTATCACGATCGTTTTACTTGACCTTTCGTTTGTAACAGAAAGCTCATCCGAAATAGATTGTCTCTTCACTATCTAAACTTGGGTTTGTATGATTAGTAGCAATATCGTCCGAGGTTCCAGCAAAACAATCAGACTCTTCGTAGGCCGAGTAGTTTCGTCCCATAACAAAATGACAGTAGCCTGAATTTGTTCATATTTCCCACAATGCCGTGGGCTGTAGCTTATATTTCAGCTGATTTCAGTTCTTAACCAGCTTAAGAGTTAAAATTTAACTACCTTGTCAAAGATGACATGGCAGTTAGTTTATATTCTCAGATCTCCACATACCCATGTATGCAGAGGAACTCAGAACCGACTAAATCATCGACCGACATAAAAAATAACTTCGAATTCCCCAATTACGCCCCCTGATACAAATAAATAACAATTCGCTTTTTGGCACACAGAAGTTTATTAAGAATACAAACGAAAAGTAAACAACATTCAATTATATGCCCAATAAACCTCTTTGCAACCCTATGACATAACGCAAAATCACCCAGGGTGGGAGGCTGGGTGGGAAGAAAAACAAAACAATACAATACAACATCTCTGGTGTCAGGCCTGCTCTGGTGTATTCTTGAAGTGAAAAGTGACACGAAATGAAACACAAAACTCCTGAAGTCTGATACCAGAGGGTGCCTATCCAAAGAGGGTAACAAAAAAGAGACTCGACGAAGGCAAGGTTAGCTATAGTTAGGACATAAATTCTTGAAGTTTTAGGGTTCCCGCATGCAATCACTTTCTTCAAACAAATCCTAAAAATAAGAAATAAAACGACAAGGATGGAGAAAGAAAAATTGTCTTTAGTGCGAGAGCTGCTGAAAAATGTAATTTTAATTGGATTTCTTGAAAATGGTTTTTCAGTAATCATTTTCGAGAAACATTATTAGATTATTAAGTGCAGCAATAATCAGACAAACTCCACAGTAGATCAATAGAGTTTCTATCAATCAATTACTCGGAATAAAAGAGTATAACTAGTGTTCTTCTGTGACAGTACTTAGCAAGCAGGGGTCAGTGGTACTAAGACAACAGAAAAACTGGGTCTAGTAATATCGAAATGAAGGTGGAAAAAAGGTTCAAGGGTAGGTAGAGTCTTTCGATTGCACTGCTCGCGCTAACCGGTCGTGCAAATTCCCATGCATATCTACCAAAATAGGGAACCTCATCAAACGTAGAAAATAAGGGCTGTTACTGGATGATATTGCATCCGAACTAGTAACGGTATTTGGCAACAAGCTGCGTAACAGGCAAAACTTGTGACAAGTGGAAGTGCGACGGTGAATATTTTTAGCAACTGAACCCTGGCTAAGACTGAATATTAAATAGACGGAGTTTTGTGTCGCATGTCTGGTTTTCGACAATATTGTTAAAAGACAAAATTGGCATCTAGTAAGAATTTTTATTCTAGGTGATTTTTGACTTATTTGAACGTGAAAATAGATGGAAAAGATATGTTAGTATAAGCTATTCGGTAGAAATTATAATAAGCCAGTTGATAATTTTTTTACTTTTTTAGGCGGTTTTATTTTATAGATAGAGTTTGGTTACTTTGGTTAAATTGACGTGGAGACAGATGTTTTTGCGTAAACTGCGGTTTGCAGCTAGTTACCGGTATATTTTTATTATGTTGTTGAAAAAAAAAATTATTAAGAAAATGACTTTATTTTATAAAAATTGATCTCGTACAGGAATTTCTTGGAAATAACTTTCTTTTAAAAATAAAAGCGAAGTTTTTCGTTTTTCTCACGATGTAGTCACGTGTGATGTAGATCACGACGTTTCGACTGCATACTGCTAGTCTTCTTCAGGCGATAAGGTCGACTGGTCATGCGTGATCTTATAAAGCATGATGCTCTGCTGTGATTAGTTGTTTTTCAACAACTCTGATTGGTGCATTTCGATCCTTGCTGATCAGGGATTTGCTCCCTCGGCGGTCCGCTGTCGCACGGCTCTCCTGTTGTTGTGTTTTTTGATAGTAGGCATCCACGCTTCTGGAATTTCTATTCCACTATCCCTGTTGATGTTGTTAGGGTGAAGTCTTATGTGAATTGCCTCTTTGACCCTGCGCGTGTAGTAATAAGGGCCACGATCAATAAACTTTACTTCGTTCCAGGGTGGCTTGTGTCCGGTGTTGTGGGCATGCTCTAAAACGGCGGAGGTCTCGGTACCGGCGAGTCGAATGTCTCGATCGTGCTCTTTAATTCTGTCTTGCATAGGCCTTCCAGTCTCTCCGATGTATACCTTGCCGCATTCACAGTGAATCCTGTAAACAACGCCATCTTGTTTAGCCGGCTCGACAGCGTCTTTTGGTCGTACTAGCTGAGATCTTAGCGTAGTCTCCGACTTGAAAACAGCGCGTACGCCTTGTTGTTGTAGGCAACGGCGAAGCTGTTCGGACAGACCTTTGACATAAGGTAAAACCGCAGTAGCTTTAAACTCGTTGGCAGGTTCGGCACTGTTGTTCGGATATCCATTAGAAACCGGAATGTTGCCTAAGTAAGCGGATAAATCATATGCAAAGGTGTTTACGCACGACACGATCAGTCTTAGCGGTACATCGGCCTTATGGATCTTTGGTAAACCGTAGATTCTAGGCGGCTGTTTGTGTCCGGGTCTGATCTTGTTGTAAACGGCCTCTGGTAGATATCCGCTTCGCTTCAGGGTAAGCAGCTTTTCAGACAACTTGCGGGTCAGACGATCTGTCGGATCTTTGTTGAGGAGTTAGCACGGTCCGTTCTCAATAAGCGTAGACATCTTAGCTCGGTAGGTGTCGGTGTCCATGACTACGCTAGCGCGCCCTTTATCCGTTGGGAGAACCATGATGGACTCGTCTTCTTTCAGGCTTTTAAGTGCATCTCGCATCTCCTTCGTGATGTTAGGCTAAGACCGATCGTGTCGTGTGTAAACACCTTTGCATATGATTTATCCGCTTACTTAGCCAACATTCTGTCTCCTTTAACAGGAAAGTCAGAGTACACGGTGACCAATTCAGCCCACTTCGTATCCACCGTCAGCAATGAGATGATCTTAGACAACGAGATTATGGTACCTTTCGACGTAGAGTCGCGGTTTACCAACGTTCCTATCGACGCCGCTGTACAAACCGCACTGCAGAAACTCGAGAACGACCCAAACCTTACAGACCGCACCACGCTTACGCCTGCACAGATCGCCGACCTTTTGACTTTCGTTTTAAGATCCGCATACTTCCAGTATAACGGATCGATTTACGAGCAAAAATACGGCGCCGCCATGGGGAGTCCGCTTTTCGCTGTTATTGCTAACCTCTACATGGAAGGTATCGAAGAACAGGCGATAACTACATCGTCCTACGAGCCTAGGATCTGGAAACGCTACGTGGACGATACCTTTACCATCCTGGATCGCGAAAACGTAGATGACTTCTTACAGGATTTAAACAACCAGCAGCCTTCCATCCGCTTCACCATGGAGACAGAGAAAGACAACAAACTCGCCTTCCTAGACACCGCAGTTTTAAGAGAACCTGACGGCCGCCTCACCACCAGCGTATACAGGAAGCCCACGCGCACTGATCAATACTTAGCGTATGATTCACACCAACCTCAATCAGTAAAACGCGGTATTGTTAAGTGCCTTTACGAGCGCGCCAAATGTCTCGTAACAAAACCCTCTGTCATCTCCGAGGAGAAAAAAATATCTGTCTTCTGTTCTGGTTTCTAATGGTTATCCTTTTTCTTTCTTGCAGAAACTTACCAAGACCGGAAAACCGAACAACAGTGCCGAACCCACCGACGAGTTTAAAGCTACTGCGGTTTTACCTTATGTCGCGATCTACATCACACGCGACTACATCGTGAAACACACGAAAATCTTAGTTTTTATCGTTATTTACCACGATGAATAACCACAACCTTTTCTACGAAACTTTCTTAATACTTTTATTTATTTAATATTTTCGTTTTTAGGCTAAATCTATGTTGAATTCCCGATCAGGAAAATAGTTTTTAGTTTTAATTTAACATGTTCGACACCTCTTTTTTTTTAGAGGTGACTTAAGGTGTAAACGTGAAGTATTTTTATCTTTTGCACTGAATTTGTAATTAGATAACTAATGTGAATAGCAC